AAGCCCAGATGTGTGGCATGTAATGACAGCAGACTGATGCTTCTCTGGGCTGACACAGCCCAATTCCAGGTTCCTGCTGGCTTGCTCCCACTAAAGATAGTCATAAGCTGAATGTCACTGGCATTTGGACAGTCTCAAAACATGAAGAGATCTTTGCTGCTTTCTATCAACATAAATCAAACTCTGGACAGTATCATTTTTATATATTCCAGCTGAAGAAAGAGCTGACCTGGTTAGACCTCAGGCAATAAGAATCTATTCCTGGGGCAATCAGAATTCTTTTTGTGTGTTGAAAAAGACACATACTATGAGCAAACAAAATGTCATAAGTAATGTATAAAAATCTGTTTCTGCAAGGATCTTAATAAAATTGGCACTAATTATTTGGTCTTGGTTTTAAAGTCTCCAACATTTTAGCACTCTAACAGTAATGGAATTACTTTTCATTACGCAAATTCTAGAGTGCAAATGTCAAATATTTCATTGGTTTGGGTACTCAGCAGATACAACTGTTTTAGAAAATTTTGACAAAAAACTGTGTAAGGAAATTGGTCTGTAAATTGCCAGAATACAATTTCACAAACTTTCTGAACTATAAACAATCTCTCTTCATTCAAAATATGATAAAACACCACAATGATGTGTTTTACACAATCACAAAAAATATGAAACAGTGTTGCCTCAATCTTGTCCACAGATGATCGTAATAGCTGTACTTTTACTTGCATTCCAGCATTTTGCTTTTATTTAAATTTAGTGCAATGTGACTGTCCAGCCTACTCTAGAGCTATCTTCCTTTTTTTCTTTCCAAGATAAAAGGGTCACAGCAACTGAAAGACAAGAGAACTGGCACATGAGCCTTTGCATGATCAACATCCAAACCATGGTTAAAACAAGTCTGTACCTCTGAGTAATTCTGGCATACTGAAAAGACAGCCAGGTGTTTTGCTGCTTTCAGAATCCCCCTCAGCCTCACAGTTAATCAAAAAATAGGGAAGGAAAAACAAAAACCAACCTCACTTGCCAGGGACAAGTCTAGAGAACTAAATACTTTCAAATTATGATGATAATTACCCAGATTAAGAAAAGGCTCATCTGCAGATTTAACAAAATTTTTAGCAAATAGCTTCACCATTTGTTCAGGATCATTTACAAACTCATTACCCAGATCCAAGGATAATGTCTTCACTCTAGGCACAGCTCCAAAATGGTCATTAACAACAATATGAAATTGTTGTGCAGAAAAAGATTTATCATTAAAATATGTTATAATACTCAACTCTTACTTTTCAAATGCACATTTTGTACGGAACCCAAATGGTACTTACTTCAGACAAATGATCTTCCACATATGGCTCCCGTGTCACATGCAGTTCTCCTCAATGATGCATGCAATTATTTTTTGAGACATTTTTAAATTCAATTGCTGCCCTTTGTATCGCATGTGAGTTCAGGCCATGAGAAAGCTGCCGATCAAAAGGAAATGTCACACATGCCTCCATGTGCAAGGGCCAAGGTTTCCAGATCTCCAAGACTTTCCAAATAGCACAAATTTTGTAGGTTGGGCTCTGGGAATGAGCCAGGTGAGAATAATGGTCCGTTGTGAAGTGGAATCAAAGTGAACAAGAACTGAGCCCATTACCTTGGGTTTAAATCACTTTAGCACAGCCTGCACAATTTATTCTAAAGTGCACACAGGGAGATTAAACACTGACATCTTTCTCTTTTGGATTGCTGCTGAATTTCAACACATTTTGCAGAGTAAAAGTGAGTGAGACCCATTATAAACAAACTTCCTTGATATTCAAGAGAAGACTGTAGCAAGAAAAAAAATAAACAACGCACATGTGGTTGGTAGGTGCTTAAAGTCACACCGTGCCACAGCAACTGCAAAGCACTCACTAGGGTACATTATTTCAGCATTTGATGAATAAACTGTAATAGTTCCATATAAACAAGTCATATTAAGGCAGTATGTAAACATTTCTAAAGAAGGATGATTTGTTTAGATCCTTTAGTCCTTCTTTGAGTCTGAATCTGGCTGCAACATGGAATCACTTTGTGACAGGCAGCCCGTTGTGTTAGTAAGCTGTTGTTACATTGCTATTGTTGGATGAAAAAACAGGCCTCATAATTTATGTCCTGAACTAGGGTAACAAAGAAGCCCCTAAAATAAAGCATTTCTGTGAAATTAGTTCCCCTAGAACATGGTCTAAAGTTTCCTAAAAATAAAAGAATATGAAAAAGAATATGAAACTTTTTCTGAGAAGATCAGTGGTTTTCTGAGGAAAGGCAAAGTAACTGTGTTTGGCAAATTTCACCATAGATTTAAATGAAACTTGAAAAATATGAAAGACTGTATAAAAAGCTAAAGTTTGTGAAGGCTGTGACTGGGCAACACAGTATTATGTTTCCTAGCATAATAAAAACCTGTATTACATAGTGTACTGCACCCTAAATATGTATGTATTCAGCTGAACATTTACAATATGTATATGTATGTATATACTCCATAATATCAATTATCCACTGATATTTAAGCGTGCTTAAATATAACGATTGTTAAGTGTGCTTGATCAATTACCCCATCTCCGTGATCCATCAGCAGTCTGTCTTCCCCTTCGTTAATCCCAGGATTGCTAAGGGTGGTGATGGCGTCTAACACCTACACACTTCTCTGGTGGATAGACATGGATCGGTGGGAAGGAAAGAAGAATGCTCACTTCAGAAACTAAAACGTAAAATACTTGGATTTAAAGGAAAGATTTGACATGTGAAACGGTTCATGAGTTCCCTGCATTTCTTTACCAACACTAGATTTTTATAGCAGTGTTAGCAGAAGCTCATCAGCCATTTAAATTAACATATTTTTACATATACTTTCTTACATATTCTTCACATATGTATAAGAAATCCAATGTGGAGTACAACTTACACAATTAAAAGCCAATATAGAAGCTTACGATAGAAATATGAAGTGTTCCACAGTGTTCACAAATTAATAAATATTTTCAAGTCACAAGAATGAAGGTAGGCTCCAGGCCTACTGAATTACTCATAATCTCTATATGAATTCAAAATGCTAATATTTTTTCTTTCAATTAATAAGGAACATATTTTCCTCAGATGCCAAAATTCACTCATCAGGCTCTACAGCTTTGGTTGCTACCCTTCAGTTCATTAAGATTACTGTACAAAAAATTCAAAAAGTCTTATCTTTTACTGCTTTTGAGGAATTTTCTAAATTCCTGCACAGTCCTGCTCCTTGCACATCACCTGATAACACAGGTTTAAGGTGATATTCTTCTTTCCCTACCTTTTTTTAAAGCACTCTTTCTGCATTGTGTTTTCAAACAGAGGTAGCCTCCTATGAAGAAATGGGGCTTCATTTACTGCTGTCATCCAGTCAATGAAAAGTGATGGAAAGGTTTCTTTTTGGAAATATACTCATGGGCTTTGGGTCAGAGTTTTGATGGTTTTCAGTTTCGAAAACAGAATTTTATTGATTCTTTAAAATAAAAATTGGAAGTTAACTTAGGAGCCTCACACCACCAAGTAAGCATGAGTGTGTCTCTTAACACTGCAGTCCTAATCCAACACAGCACTACAGGGACTCTCTAATTACCTGACGACTGTATTCAGATTTAAGCATTTTACTCATGATATTCCAGTCAACTGCTAGAGTGTATACTAAAAGCTCAGTCAAGTCTCTGATATCTGAGCCCTGCTTTAAAGCAGCAAATGGCTACTGCAGCTGGTATTCCAATATTTTCATCAGTCCCAAACTAAAGATATTGCCTCCAAGTCAGTGAAACATGCTCGAGTTAATGTCAACTCAAGTAATCAGACCAGCTGAAGGAATTCAGATTTCTGAATCTGTTCTTTCATTTTTGCTCTAGAATGACTACTTTTGGTGGATTTAATCCTCCATTCCTTGCTGATATGCGATCATACTTGATAGGTTTCCAATGCTTTTTGATCTGGTGTTAAATTAATGCTGTGAGCCTGAGCCATGACCTTTGGTCCCTAATGGCGCTATAGACCCTCTGAGAAGGCCATGTAGTATAATAATTTCTTTGGGCATCCCTACATTCACAGGCTCTGGTACCTCTAACTGCAAAGGCAAAGTTGTGTGCATCTTCTCGCTGCATCAGGAGGGACTCTCTGGTGCCTCCACTACTTTATTCATCCCCAGAACGAACTGGGGCACATTGCACCTGCTCTGCCTCATCAGCACTGGTGTTAACACTCAAAGCTGGATCATAAGCATTTATCATAAACCACGTCTTTCATGAAAACAGGAGCCTGGGGACGATCCCTTATTCCTGGCAACATCCAGAACTAGAAAAATAAAAGATGACCGGCCTGTGTATCCCTAATCCCACAAATATTTACGCACACTCTCCAGTGCTTGTAGTGCACGCAGTCCCATTGAATCCAACAGGACTTTCTCGTGGCCCTGCGTTCAGCACCAGGGTGAATTTCGCACATCCTGCAGCCTCTTCCCAGGAGATGGCTATGCACCTCGGCTCCTCCACCGGCGTGCCGCGTGTGAGGCACGCTGCTGCGGGGAGCCTGCAGAGATCACACTCACGGGGAACCCCCCAGGTGCCTGCACGGGTGTGGGGAGTGCAGTCAGGGCCGTTCTCCTGCCGGGAACAGCACATCCCGCTCGAGCTCCCCCGGTCACTGCCGGGTGCCCCGTGACTCCCGTCCCGGGCTGCTCCCCACGGACAGCCCCTGCTGCCCACGGCCCCGCCGCCCGGGACCCCCGCGGGACGGGGTGTGACACCCACGGGGCGCGGCACCCCCACCCCGTCCGCCGGCGGGACCCCGAGCCGCCCCCGCCTCCCGGCCCCGGCCGCGGCCCCTTCCCCGGGGCGGAGGGAGGGAGGCGGGGCCGAGCCGCGGCTCCGCGGGGCCGGGCCGGGCTCCGCGGGGCTGGCGGCGAGGGCTGGGTGCCGCCGGCGGCCGAGGAGCGAGGGCGAGCGGCAGCGGCCGGGGCTGCGGGCGGGGGCATGGCCCGGCAGTAGGCAGGGAGCGCTCCGCCGCCCGCCGCTCCCGGCGGCAGCCCCGCCGCGCCCCGTCCGTCCTATGCGAGCCGCCCCGGCGCCAAGATGAAAGGTAGGGACGGGAGCGGGGCGCTGCCGCCCGCACACGTGCGCCGGGCACCGCGGGCAGGGCGGCACGGCGGCGTGCGGGAACACCGAGCGGGCACGGCGGCGGGAGCGTGGACAGCCTTCAGCACGGGCACAGCGCGGGCAGGGCGGTCTCGGGGAGGGTGCCCGCGGATGAGCCGAAGCCGGCAGGGTGCTGGCGGGACACGGTGCGGGCAGGTGGCGGGCAGGGCTCGCCGCTGCGGGCAGGGCACGGGCAGCCGGGGCCGGGAGCGGCGGAGCGGGGGTCTCACCGCGACCCCGGGGTGCGGGGTCTGCGCCGCCGCCGCGGCTCGGAGTGTGCCGGTCAGTCCCGGTCCTGGAGCGGGCTGTCCCCGTGTGAGTGTGTCCCGGCATGTGCGTGTGCTCTCCCCGCAGCGCGGCTTCTCTCGGCACCCAACTTTTATCTTCCCCCTCGCCGGTGCCCCGAGAAGAAGAGTTGTGTTTCTCCCTGGTTGATTTGTTTATTTTTTGCCAGCGTTTTGAGATGTTCTTGGTGTTGCTTCTAAACATCTGGCAGTGATTAGGTGCCAGTAGAAGCTTAACTGGCTTGTGAAATGTATTTGGCATATTTCTCCTCTGCATCCACCGACTGGAAAATTTTTGTCTTTACTTTGCATCTGTTCAAACTGAAACTTCGTTTCTTTTCCTTTTTCACTCTTTTCCTCCCTTCCTCCTCTTTTTGTTTTAAATGGGTGGAACATTTGACCCTGTCCTACATAGCTGTGACTGAGAGGTATCACATACTTTAAAATGAAATAAATAAGTAGATTGCCAAACTGCTACTCTGTAACCTAGTAAAGATGTATGGGGGGTGCAAGAAAGCCTTCTGTTTATGAAAATTGATAGCCTTACAGCAAAAGGCAGAGGTTTTACACACTGGGGAATACTTACAATGAAAACATCAAAGGACATTATGGAAGGTTTAGGAGTTAGTCGGGATGTTGTGAGAGTTGAATTCAGTCTTTCTTCAGAGGCAAAAATAAGCTTAAGGAAAAGACATACAAATATGAAAATTGCTTTTGGGCACCACTGTGCCTGTTCTTGGACTGCAGAGTTTTATTCCAGATGCCAGGAGTCCAGTAAACATCATATAGTTACACTTACTTTCCAGAGTCTAGGACACCAAATTATGTGATCATTTATTCACTTGCCAGAGTAGCTGCCTGAAGGGAGGAAAAACTTTTGGGGGGCATTTATTTTGCAAGCCCACACACACACTATTTAAGTTACTTCTGACACTGTGGCATGGTGCCTCTGCAGGGCCATGCAACATACGGCAAATAATGCATATACAATGTTCTTTATTTATAGGCTACTCATGCCAAAAATTTTATCATCAGCTTGTCCTTATCAGCATAAGTGTAAGGGCATGAATAAACCAAAACAATGTGGATCTGGTAGAGGTAGAACAAATCTGTGCCTGTTACCATTGAGAGCCTTACACTCCATTCTTTGGGGTTTTGGGGAGAGGTGGGATGCAAAGGACCAGGGATGGGAATAACATATAATGCAACTTTCATTCTGCTTCCACCACTCTTTGCAAAGCAGAGCACTGGCATTCAAAGGGAAGATGTAATTCCTGCTCCTGGGAGCACTCGCTGGTGCCCCACACTCCATCAAGAGGGAGTGCTAGTCCTTACCATTTGGCTTCCCCAAGAGTGATCACAGCCATCTTATTTCTTTCTTCCAGAGAGTTACAGAAATCAGTAATAAAACATGCAAAGATGAACATTTGAATGACTGTGCTAATAGCAAAAGAAAAGCAACAAAACATCACATCAAGTGCTTCTGCCAGTGTTAGAGAAGTCAGAGAGTCAAACCAAATTTTGACTTGATGATTTCCTTTTCTGGGTATGGACTTGGCTTTTCATGTTTTCTCCTTAAACTTGATGGTAGGTGATAATTGTAGGACTGTAGAACTTTGTATAGTTACACACTTTTCTCAATAAAAATAAAAAGATCTGTTGATTGCAGCTGTCTCTGTATCTACCCTCTCCAGAGAATGGAGGAATATCTAAATAATTACATCACTAAATATCCGTAAGGAATAAATTATATTTTCCATTGCTGGTATTTGTAATGTGTTATGTTTTAAATCAGTAAAACAAACTGAAGTTTATGTTCAATATGCTGGCAGTTTTATTTCTAGCAAACAACACTGAGCTCACAAACTTTGTCATATTTTTAGCAATAATTCATGTGATTTATATAGGGATTTGTCTGCTTTAGGGTCAGATTTATCTTTATCAAATGATACTTCTAAGTTATAGTTATTTATTGGGGTATGAAGGAGCACTCGTTGCCTGGGAAACAAATGAAAACAACTTCCTCATAGTCAAACACCACCACATGTTTGAAAATATTGGCCCTAATTTAAGACAGGGACAAGCATTGATAAAACTGAGAACTTCTTCCCATATAGCTGCAATATATTTTGTAATTGCTACTTTAAACTCTATCTGTAATCACTACTGTCATGGCAGTGCTGGCGATAAGTATTTTCCTCTGAAATATGGATACTGTTTGGATAACCACTTAATACTAATGCCTAAAATCAGGCAATGACGAAGTCAAGGTGATCATTTGGGACTGTTGCTCCAGGATGACAGAGAAGCTCTTAATTAATGATGCTTAAAATAGCTTAGCTGTTTCTTTTCATTCCTCCTCCTCCCTCTCTGCCATCACAAGCACCTTGCTGTGTACCACTTGTATCAGCAGTGGTGCTGGAGGACAATCATCTGGGATCCTATGCTTGAATGCTGAGGTGTGCTTGAGAGCTGGAATGAGACCAAATATTCCATCTTGTGCCATTCCTCTCATTTGATACAAAAGGATGCACGGGGGAGAAACAGGTGCATCCTTGGCTGTGTTCCACTGGAGCAGTGAAGCCCTCGGTGCCTCGGGATCAGCCTGGCCTGAACGCCCGCCTTGGACCCCTTTAGCTCAAAGGCGGCTCAGTGCGCTCCGTGCACAGTGCACTGGAGATAAGAGTACCCCGAGCTCTCACAGGATATGCCAGTTCAGTTTGCCCCAAGTTTGCCTTACACAGTGAACCTTTTATCAGGCAATTAATTAACATATAAGCCATATCAGTATAGCTAAACTTGTCACTTCTGTGGGACCTAGAGCTTGGATGTAATTTGCAAATAATGCTGATAATAGCAAAAGCTGACTGCGTATGCAAGTTCACTTGTTCTTTCTTTATTACCTTGAAAAATCTTAAATAATCTATTTATATGATGGTTACCTTCCTGACAGATTTTGTCTTTCTCTCAGTTTTGATGCCACTAATTTTAAATAACAAAGGAATAAACGTTTTAATTTTGTAACACTGCAGAAAAGACTCTGTCTCTCTCTCTCTCTCTCTCTCTTCTTTGTGTGCACAAAATCAAATGAACAATCCTCTACAAATAGGTCTTTCCTGGATAGAAACTTCAAACCAAGAATTTTTAAAAAAATCCAGTCCAGAGCATTTTGCAGAAGCCAAAAAGCATTTGAAAACCAAGGATTAGAAGTGGAGTGATCCAGTAACCTTTCCTTAGTCCATTTATATCTGAACTTATATGAATATAGTGACATAAACATGAAACATATGCAGGAGGTCTGAGTGGTGTGTGTTGGACATGTCACAGGACCCTACAGCAGAAGTTCAAAGGCACGAGCAGTTATAATAAATGTGTGATAAAACACAGAACAAATCCTGAGCAACGCTACTATACAATCAGCGTGTGTCCCGAATTGAGTGGTAGCACAGAGGATTTTAAACATATGGATGAGAAAGATGCAAGTGTGTGTCAAAGCATGTTCTTATTAATACAGAGGAAAACAGAGCTATGAAATTATAAGAAAATAGAAATATTACTATACAACCACAAAGGATATTGAGCAGAATTAGCATATAAACGATTTATGACAGGATCATTTTTAGTAAGAACTTGTAATTGTTATTGCTTCAATTCTACTTTTCCTGGCCACACGGGACTAAGAATAGCATGGACAAACCTCCCTATGAAGAAGAGAATTGTTTAAAATCTCCTGTGACTCCTTTTTCTCCTACTTTGGATAACATAGATTCATTTTAAACTGATTTTGCTACAGCTGAGGGCTGAACAGAGCCCTTTTTTTGTCACAACAGCTAAACAGTTTACTTAGATCCACAGTGAAAGACTGTTGTGCCCAGAGGTTCAGACACTTCTGCCTGCTAGGATAAGGAGGGAAAAGTAATCTTGCAGGGAGCTGATCACGCCTTGCACAGATAAAACAGAGTAAAATAAAGAGAGCTGGGACAAATGTCAAGGATGAAACCAGCTCAGTACTGCAAAGGATGCATACCCAGTTATCTTCAGCTTAACAAAACCTTCCTTATCCTGAGGTTCTGTATGTCAGAACAGAGAATCTCTCCTTCCAGCCCACCCCCTTGGAAAGCAAAATAAAGGCATGGAAAGTGAACCTGATCCTCCTCACAATGTGAGTGTGGTCTGTGTGAGTGAGGGAGCAACCTAAGATGAATTGGCTTTGAATTTTGACTGCTTCCACCTAAAGCTTCAATCCCTTTTGGTGCATAAATTTGAGGTGCAGACTGGGACATCACTGGGGAACAAAGTGAATGAGTAATGGGAGGTAATAGAGACATGTGTTAGGAATGTGTATGCCATTTTAATACCACTGTTAATTGCCTCCTCTGACATACTGACAGGGAGGCACGATTTTTCAGTGCACTAATGAGAACATATCTGTTTGCTTTTAAATCATTATTCTGTAATACGATATGATTTAAACTTTTAACTTCTAAGGTTGATCCTCCACACCATGCAGCTGCTCCTGACCCCAGTATGGTAATGTGGCACTTATGGGCTAACAAGTTTTGTTCAAAACCCCCTATTTACTGTCTTCATCTTGTGCCTAAAAAACAAAACTAGAGTGATTGTTGTTATGCCTCTAAATTTCACAATCTTCTGTCTTTTT